GGTTTTTCATTTCATGATAACTTCAGGTTTGTTCATTTTTGGAGAATTGCTAGTCCAATTCGATTTGAATCGAGCTAATGAAAAGTGGCTTTTGATTTCATGATAACTTTAGGTTAGTTTGTTTTTGGCGAATCGCTAGTCTAATTCGATTGTAATCGAGGAAGAGAACAATGGTTTTTCATTTCATGATAACATCGAATTTGTCCAAATGCACACTTGAGAGGATTCAATATCATTCTGTACCTCTTTAATATTTGGAAAGCTACGTCGAGGTGCTTCACACGGTCCATAGTCTTGAGATTTTTTACTAGCATGTCATCCATATAAATTTTCATGATCTTACCAATGGGGTTCATAAACATCTTGTTGACGAGCCTCCAATAGGTGGCTCCAGTATTCTTCAGGCCAAATGGTCACATGGCAGTCACTACATGGCAGCATTCTGTTGTACTATATTCCTCATATTAGCAACCTTTTTTTTCCACATATCTTACAAAGCATACAATAGTTCCACCGCCTTGCCGGTGATGGTGATAAGTTCGACGGTGGTTGAAATTGGTTCAGAGGATCTCTTCTTCAAAGTCCTCTCTAATGGCCCCTTGCACCAGAACCATCATTGTTATATCAACATCTTTTCTTCCAAAAGATGGGTTTAATCCTTCAGATACTCCTTTCTTCAAGGAGCCAGAACCTAAAATATAACACAATACTTCAAACAGTATTACCTTAGAGCATTCACTTGTTCTTTCTTCAAGAACAAAAGCTTTCTTCAAGTGAGAAGTTGAAATACTTTTTCGATAAGCTTTGCCCTAAGGATGTTCATGGTTATCATGTGGTCTTTTACAAATGGCTACAATCTTGATTTTTGTACGTCCAACATAGCTAATAGATCACAAGGCTCTTGCATCCTTGTAAGCCTGGTCATACACACTAGGGCAAGTCGTTAGCCACATGTGGCCTTCTCTTGCGGTAGATAAAGTGGCCACGTACACTTCAACAGTCAAGTCAGTTGAAACAATAAATATTTGAGTGTAAGAATACTTTAGACATGAGCCCCTTGTGTAAAAAGTGGTTCGGCTTTGGAGAAAATCTGAGTAAATGTAGATAGCAAAGTTATAGTTTGAGAGTCTAAAGTTGCATTACCTTTGGAATGACACATTGTGAAACTTTTATAATATAATATGATGACTAATAATTGTTGGATGAAAATATATGTGGCCTCATAATCAATCAATCATGAACATTTAATGTTAATACCATTTTGTTGTCTAAAATCTAACACAATACTTAAACTTGACCTATTTGGCTGGTTGGGACATTCGTAGCAACGAATTGTCACATCAATCACTCACTGAAAATTGCATAGAGGTTCTTTTGCTAATCTCCTAACAATTTCACCTCATCCATGATAGTTTGGTTCCCCATATGTAGGCCCACATTTGCTAGTCGTATTACTAACACATCGTAGTATTTGAAGCTTTGCTAGAAGAGGAATAACAATTTTCATATTCATCGATCGAAAAATAGATACTAGATAGTACTTGCTCGTACTAAATTCTCTCTTAAGAAATTTAAAAAATGGCAAATGACTTCGTCAAAAGATAGCATGCACCTCACTAATTGTGCGGAGAAAAAAGTGATAATATTTTCATCCTTACCCCCATTTATACTTGGGGGAAAAAATCAAAAGCTTACCTACCAAAAAATGAATAACTCACGTTTTGACATGTATGCCCTAGAAGGGTAGCAATTATAACTCTATGTCTAACGTAGGTAACACTTCATCTGCTATGGATTTCTCATCATTTTGGTATAGAAAAGACACGCTTGAATCCCATAACCGCCACATGGTGAAGGGTATTAATTAATACACCTTCCAAAATGAATATCGCCAACTCATCAAGCTATGTGAATTTTACTTCTGATTGATCAACTGCTTATCATTCGAGAGTAAAGATTCTAATTATGATACCACTAGATTTGGTATGATTTCGCCGATCATAATTAAGCTACTTATTATCACGTTGGGCCTTTCACGAGTACCCACGAATCAAATAAGTGTTCATTCATTCTCCAAACCATTGACTAAGAAATAAAAATCTCTACCCTTGAGAACTCAATCAGGAGAGTTATGTAACAACCAATTATCTGATGTAGGATCGATTAACATATGATCGAAAACAAATGAAGCAAGCAAGTTACCTTGTACACTTTCACCAATTGAGTAGGCACTTGGTGATCCTCTTAATCCTCAAATCCTCCTTTATTTATATTGAAAATCCGTAGGACCTTTGGATACGTGTCACATTTGCTCATAATTGACTCATTGCCACGTCAGCTTATTTCAAAGTCTAGATCAAAGTCTTTTCTAGAGTAAAAAAAATGTATCAAATATTTAGAATACTATTATTGGATAAATTCTTTACTTGTTTCATATTATTCTCAAGGATATTAGATTCATTTTTACATTGAAGGGTTGAACCGATGGAGAACAAAATTTACAAAATTGATAAGCATCATAGCATAAGATCATATTTCTACCATAGTAAAAAGTTGGATATTCAACTACAAAAATAGATTTTATACAATTATTTTAATACAATACCAATAAATCGAGTAACGAATATAGAATTTTACATGTAAAACAAAATAATTCATTGTACAGTGACGAAATCGAGGCAAACCAAAACCAACAAGTTTAAGATAAATATTATATGATTATTATTATGTTTCAAAAGAAGTAAAGTAGAATTTTTGCAAACTTATTTGTTTTCCTTTCTTGTTTATAATTAAGCATTTATTGGGGCCCCCATTCTCATCCATTTTTTTGGAACTTTTTCCAACAACTATGGCCTCAAGGTTAGACAAAGTACATGTCTTCTCTAACAACAGTTGAGAAGTTTGTGTAGATAGCTTTTAAGTGACATTTTCAAATTTGAAACTTTCTATTTATGCCCTTCAATTTATGGTAGGTGTTTGGCACGTGCAAATGCATTTAACACACTGGTATTTGTAGTAGGTGAAATTATTTTGAAACGTCAAAATATGAGTCTCCATTTCATTTTTTCTTTCGACCAATGAAGATGCATAACGGGCTAATGAAAAATATATTTCTGAATTCTTGAAAATGAAGATGTGTTTTCTCCAAAAAAATGTCAAGCGAAACAATTGCATACATGCCATACGTCTTCCACTTATACGCGTTGTATAAATACTAATGTAGTGCTTGCGTCATATGATCACGTAGTCGTTGCCACTATATGTCCTCTTCAATTATTTCATCTAGCTCAACGGCCATTTTATCTTCTTTAGCGAGTAGGTCGATTTCAATTTCATCTTCATCCACTTCTTCAGCTCTATGAGCTGACCATTTTCCCTAGGGAAATTATATATTCTCATTGTGACCACGATCACAGCAGTTTACACTCTTATATTTTAAGCTGGCATTCGATCAAGAATTTTCCATCTCTGTTTTCAAATACCAAACAAATGCTCAATAGCGTTACGGCATGAAGAGTGATAAAAATTAAATTGCTCGCGTGCATTTCGAAACCGACAGCATTGTCCATCCGTTGCTTTGCCTTCTTAAAAATGATATCTAATATCGGAGCCCTACCATATACCTAAGCCTACGTGCGAAAAAAGAGTCAACCAAGTAATATTTTCTGTTCACGGGTTCTGAAAAATTGATCTCTAGACTATGTAAAGCTCGGGCTAATACGTAATTGTCATGTGTGTTCCCTGTGATTCCTGGCAAAACGATCGTAAAGCACATATTGAAATCACACACGACCGGCACATTCTGTATTGGAATCCCCTTTCTTCCAATAAAATCCCCTCTTCTATGTTGTGGAAGTACCGCTCTCACATATGAGGGACGGTCATAATAAAGTTTACAAGTCAGTTTCAAATGTAATTGAAGGCAAAGAGGGAAGATTTCATGAGACTCTGCTGCGTTCTATCGAATGCACCAATGTAGTCCTGTCATTGTACAAGTATTAAGACCATTCTCGTTCTCTTCATGTTCTACCAACAACTAAATTAAATATTTCACTTCGAATACGTAAATTTAACTTGAAATGGGGGATACTACTTCGAATTTAGGTGATAGTGTGCAGTGCCATTGTTGTACATTATATTTGATTTTAGCATGTTAAACGCAAAAGCTACACATGCATGCAATATCATCCTAAGATAATGACATTGTTTGCAACGTATGATCGAACAGAGTTTGTACTTGTCGATACCCTTTGTTGTGTGACAGTATACACAAGAACATTCTCACTTTTTTGTAAATGTCGATGTTCGCGGTGCTCGAAAAGCTATACTCATTGTGGAGAATATGCTAGAAGTGTATGAACATAGGAGAATACATCTCGAATTCCTGAAAACAAGTTTGTAGTTAAATGTGCATGTGTTTGAAACAAGAAAATGTAACCACATCGCATTGTCAGGAACAAGTACCAACGCTGTCTATTCAATGCTAAGTATTCGTGAACAATGTGCTCGACTATTTGACAATATTTAAGCCATGTGTTTATCTCCTCTTCCAACTGCTGCATCATTCTTCATCAGAGCTCATACCGAATTACATGGATTTGATGTTGCAATATGTTTTCGAAGCTGAGTACACTGTTGAGTCACCCGACATCTCTGTGATTATGTGGGCGATATATGTGGTAATAAAAATGGGACTTTAAATATCAAAAGGAAGTGCAAGCCTTGGAAACGAACTTGTATTCTGGGTGAATACTTGCTTTGCTATTACTCCATCAAAGGTTAAAAAAAAAAAAAAAAAAAAGCATAAACGTGCTGCCTGTGTCATTTATGGTAACAAAGTAGGAGTAATAATGAGACTTTAAAAAAAATTCAATTTTCAATGATTTCTTGTACTACTCTTTAATCAAGTTGCATGGAATCCCTACAAAAGCACTTTGGGAACCATATTGTTTCATGCAAAAGCTTGTAATTTCTTCACAACAATCATGTTTGAAATAGAAAATGCAAATTACTATAAGTACACATTAAACGGAAGATTCAAAGTAAGTTGTATATCTAACACCGAAACATGATACAACAATATTCATATAAATGGCCAATAAACTAGAAAAATTACAATTACAACGAAAAATGAAATCACATTGTCCACGTCCGAAATGGAAAACGCTCAGCCCTTACTCAGAAATGCCTTATTATCCCTGTCGAAACAGTACTCTCCAAACTTGAAACGCAATACAGTATCTTAGTAGTATAATAAGAGTTTCAATTTTCTTTATCTTGGAGGAACCACGGGGCGAACAGGTGGAGCTCATCACCCTCCGCCACAGACGACAGAAGTTCGTCGACACACTTGCCTACCAACCTTCCTCACATACAATGTGATATCGCAATTGAAGCTAGATTTCCAACACTGACCATTTGCTCAAGAGAAGCAAAAACCTCATGGACACTGTACTTTTTCCTATGTCCTTTCCCTTTACTATGGCTGCGTTTCCTTTTTTCCCCACCGTGTTTGCCAAAAATATTCATGGACGAGTTAGCTCTATCATCAAGTAAGCATAGATCCCAAGATTCCCGAACAGGGCAACAACTGGAATCGGTTGTCTTCGCGTTGATTGGTAACTCGTCGCCTTCGTCCCGTCTTTCAGTGCCCAAGTCAAAACCACGTTGAGATAGCTTCGATGGGGACAATGCATACTTCATTGAGTTGCCAGTATCGTCAAACAATTTTTCGTACGTGTCATATATCTCGCTACAGTCAAGATTCATGTACTTTGCATATTTTGGGTTCTCTTGAATTGACAATGAACACAACAAATTACATTCGTCTATATAATCATATGTAAATTCAAAAATTAATGTCAAACAGAGAAATGGATTGTGGGGATCAAGACTAAATGGAGAGGAACAACAACTCATTGACAAAATCACACGAACAGCACTAATCCATGGTATTTTCCACCACAGTATCAAGTTCAATACAATTTATATAAACTTGTAACACACTTCAACATACAAAGACGTACTCATCTCTGGGGAGGGTGTATATAATTCAACTCTCAATTGTCCCCAATTCACGATACAAACAATTTCAGAATTAAATCTTCTACATTGCTGTGTTAGGAATTTCAAGTAATGCACAGTGTTTAGCACGGCAATATCAAGTTAGACATAATTTGCAGAAACTTGTAATGGGCAGTCAACATGCAAAAACTCATAATAGACATTTAACATGTTGAAACTGATTTATTCCACAAATGAACTTGAAAATTAAATGCCGAACACGTTTGAGATATAATGTTTTGCGAGGAAATCCCCCCAAAAATCACTGAACTCTGCTAAAAATTCCTTAGGAGGTCACCGAACTTCAGTACGTCCCTGAATGGTCATTGAACTTTTTCGAAGTCCTCCAAGAGGTCATCGAACTTCAAAACGCCCTTGAATGGTCACTGAGCTTTGCAAAAAATCTCTAGGAGGTCAATTACAATATTGAGTGACCTCTCCGGGGGATTTTAGCAAAGTTCAGTGATCATTTAGGGACGTATTGAAGTTCAGTGACCTCTTGGGGGATTTCGACAAAGTTCAGTAACTATTTAGGGACATATTGAAGTTTGGTGAGCTCCTAGGGAATTTTCTACAAAGTTCAGTGACTATTGTGGGATTTCCTCAATGTTTTGTAGAAGGTGAGAGTACCAGGTGCCTTAATTTTTTCTTCCCACCAATATTCAGGAGCGTGGATTCTATGGGTACTCAATTCTAGTGCATTGCAGTAGCTCGAAAAGGTGCTTGTGAGCCATTTGCAAGTATTCCAATAGTTCTTCATTTGCAATATATTCCAGTTCTTTCCCGCTGAGCTGTTGAACATTTTTGCTATATGTTTTCATCCCATTGTTGAAAAGCATTTGCCTTGTCAGGGCATTCGGTAATGACAATTTCACTGGTGGCGATGAAGACTTTGTACTTCGAAGTGTCCCATTTTGCGGACTTACGCACCACAGGCTAGGTCAGTTGCAGGTACTAAGATGCACGGTTGACATGGCATGGGCTACTAGTCGTTTAGGGTTGTGGAAGAAAGGTGGGAAATTAAAACCAACTCAAAATTAACGAAACGAATCGAAAAAAAATACAGGCAAAGATTTAAAAGCCCCGTTTGCGGAAATAAGAACCAAATGATATGTTGGCAGATTTCTACTATTTTAGGTTGAAAAACTAAAAAAAGAAAAAATGTGTACCATATGTTCGGGGTAACGGTGCCCCTAGGATGCGTCTTTTTCCATCGTCAACGGAGTGCTTGTCGGAGAAGTTGATTCGAAGAAAGCGCAGAATATAAAGGCGGGTCGACCACAAAGACGAGGTTGAAAGAGGTGATGGCTGACCGGAAAATGAAGACTTAGTGGTTGTGGGACTATCGACTGGTAACCGGTAAAAAATTGAACAAGCAGGTTTGTTTGGTCAAAATCCTTATCGGTTTGTTTCGTGTGAAAAGCTCTGATTGCAACACAGTAAAACGGCACAATATGGAGAAGGAGAGAATGAAATTGAAGGGTTAAAATGGTAGAGGGCGTTTGTGTACATTTCCAATTGCATATGAGGGCAAAACAGTCCAACAAGTCTCAACAGCACTATATCAAGTATATTCATTTTGGTAAAAATCTGACTTCTTGTGATGTGTTATCAGAAAAAAAAAATCCTCATTAAGAGAATGTTCGATGGAGATTAAAATTAGATTTTTTTTTATAGATTGTAATAGAGATTTTTGAAATATGTCCTTAAAAAGTTGTGAAACATATAAAAAATATTGTTAATATTGATTGTTTAATTTCGACTTAAATTGAAATCATATTTCAATTCAAAACAAACAAGCGGTAAAATACTAGAGCTTAATGGTTTGTTATTTACATATTCAACTTCGGGTCCCTTATTTGTACCTTTCCAAACTGTACGCTGCTGACTGCTCTCTCTCAAAAGTATGCAGTAGCCTTCCTCGTGAATCGTGGTCCTCTCCCAGTCTTTCTCTCACATCACGACATCCAAATGCTCCCAAAACCCACAAAAGCCTGCTCGCTTTCCCGCTCCAATGATCAAAACTTTACCCATTTAATTATTACATTTCACCTAATTTCAGAATACAATAACTTGTTCCCAATATTATATATTGAAGTTCAAAATCCAAGTTTTCCTTGATCTCTCCAAACCAACCGCTTGTCTTTGACGACTCTTTTATCTTCTACTTCTACCTATTTCAAGAAAACGAATACTTTACAAATCCCACGATATTTGTGTTTGAAATATACAGAAAATGAAATGCTTTCATTTCACTAATGGCGAGAGAAGGCCCAATGAGGAAGAAGTCCAAGACGGCTCCGTTTCACGTGCGTCATCGAAGGTTTCCTGGGTCCGGTCACTGAGTATTGCGTCCAGTAACGTTGATACACGGCGGTCGGCTTTTGATTCGGAGTCGAGGAGGGACTGGACCGACTCGTTTGGGTTCCATGAGTTCTTGACTCAGCGCCGGGCCAATGATCTGCGGGTTTTTACTTTTCCCGAGCTGAAATCAGCTACCAGAGGGTTTACCCGGACCCTCATGATCGGCGAAGGCGGGTTCGGGTGCGTGTATCGGGGCATTCTTAAAGTATCGGATTCAGAGTCGGGTTCTGAATCGGAGATGGATGTTGCTGTCAAGCAGTTGAATCGCAGTGGATTCCAGGCATGCCCTTTTGTTCATATTGGTATTCTATGCTAAAAATTACTTCGAATTTTACATATAAAAGTATACATTGAAATACTCAGAGCAATTATTTTACTGATATGAAGAAATAATTAACTTTTCTTGCGCCATTCCCAATAATTTTAAGGTCGACTGTATGAATAGTTATCAGCCACTTTGTAGCTTTTTTCTTAGATATAGTACTGGAATTAGTGTTTTGTTGGAAGATTCATTTGAATTACTTTGAGGTTTATTGCATTTTCGAGTTTCTCTCGAGGGTAGATTATTAAAATTAGGTGATTTTGCGTGCTTATTTCGATGCTTAACTATCAGCATTTCTTTTTCAATTTTTGTTGCTTAGATGACTTTTTCCGTAGGTTGAGCAACTTTTCTAGAAAAGTGACTCCATATTCAAATTTTGATGTCACCGATCAACTAATCAATTCAATACTTTTGCTTTTCTGATATTTATATTTGACTTTTTTGTTAGATTATTGGAAACTTATTTCTTAAGCTTTAGTGAAATTAATTTTATTTCGAGATTATCTTATACGTGTTTATATTTTTGCTTTCTAGTAATCAGGGGCACAAAGAGTGGATTAATGAAGTGAATTTTTTGGGTGTGGTTAAGCACCCAAATCTTGTTAAGCTAGTGGGATATTGTGCAGAAGATGACGAAAGGGGAATCCAACGGCTGTTGGTGTACGAGCTAATGCATAATAAAAGTTTGGAGGACCATTTATTGACCCGATCAGCATCTCCTCTTCCATGGCTGTTGAGACTAAAGATTGCTCAAGATGCAGCTCGGGGTTTAGCTTACCTTCACGAAGAAATGGAATTTCAGGTGCTCATACTTTCATTCATATTTACGTTACTTCTGAACTTCAATTTATCTTGAATTGTGACGTTTGTGGATAAATTTGGCTGTTACATTTTGATGGAATCCAGCATGTAGATTTGCATCTGGTAGAGCATATTCCTTGTTGAATCTGTCAAAATTTATAAATCATTTGATCCTCCAACACCTGGGCCCAAACCCCACAGTGTTCATGCCTCACATGCAGTGGACAGAATCTTAATCTGATTGTCATTTTCATGAAAATAATTAGATGGTTGTAGTCATGCTCTGGTCCATTAATTATTAAAGAAAACAGCCCAAGGTTATGATTCGACCTGACCCTCAAGTCTCTTAACTGTTCTCAATTTTCTCTCAAACTTACACTAAATAATATACTCCACTCTAAATGCAAGTCTCTCATTGTATTGTACTTTCTTCTTTGAACATGTTTCGTCTATTGGATTGAATATTAAGTATAAATAAACAGTACATAGACAAGCATTTGATGTGTCTTTCTTCTTTAATTTAGTTCAATCTACAATGTGTGCATTCCACTTTGTCATTTTATCTACTAAATTACTGTCCCAAGTTAGAAGGATGCTTACTCTAAGAACAGATGCATGAGATGTTAGGAGAGCTTAATCGGATTGATACTTTGATCCATGTAAACTTCTTTTCTACATGCATACACTTCTTTATGATCCTCCAACACCTGGGCCCAAACCCCACAGTGTTCATGCCTCACATGCAGTGGACAGAATCTTAATCTGATTGTCATTTTCATGAAAATAATTAGATGGTTGTAGTCATGCTCTGGTCCATTAATTATTAAAGAAAACAGCCCAAGGTTATGATTCGACCTGACCCTCAAGTCTCTTAACTGTTCTCAATTTTCTCTCAAACTTACACTAAATAATATACTCCACTCTAAATGCAAGTCTCTCATTGTATTGTACTTTCTTCTTTGAACATGTTTCGTCTATTGGATTGAATATTAAGTATAAATAAACAGTACATAGACAAGCATTTGATGTGTCTTTCTTCTTTAATTTAGTTCAATCTACAATGTGTGCATTCCACTTTGTCATTTTATCTACTAAATTACTGTCCCAAGTTAGAAGGATGCTTACTCTAAGAACAGATGCATGAGATGTTAGGAGAGCTTAATCGGATTGATACTTTGATCCATGTAAACTTCTTTTCTACATGCATACACTTCTTTACTCATTAATTATATTCTTTAAGAAGAAATCGTAACCAGTAGTTCTGTAATCAGAAAGATAGTTAAAACTTGTCGTCATTGTAAAAAAGTGATTAAACCTTATACCAGCATTTTCCAACATTTGGTGAAGAAATAAATCTTACGCCCTCATTAGCTTTATATATACTACAGCATCTGGGTTATTTCTCTTGATATTTAATGTCGACTACATTTTGATATGCTTTTCTCATTTCTTCAGCTAATATTTAGAGACTTCAAAACTTCGAACATCCTCTTGGATGAAGACTTCAATGCAAAACTTTCGGACTTTGGATTGGCTAGACAGGGTCCAACGGCTGGATTTGGTCATGTTTCAACATCAGTGAGTTCCATTTTGATTTTGTTTATCTGGGCATCATTAAATTTTATGGATCTCAATATTCCACTTGATTTGAATTTTGACATATCCCTTTAAATTATTCTTTTTCTCTGTCCTTCTGCATGTTGAATTGTGTGGAGTCATGTGGTACGTTTCGATCCTGGAGGCAATTTTTATTGGGGGCATATTGGACATTCATGCATGTATCAAATGGCCATAATATTCCTTCAACATGAAAAAATTATTGGGGGGCGTTTTTATGAAATATGTACAGACTGAGATGTGAGATCACTATCGTAATTTTCCTTATTCGTTCTAGTGAAAATTCTGCAGTAGTTACCGAGGGTAAACCACTATAAATCTAGGTGTTTACTCGTTTGCGTTTCTGTTTGCATTTTGCTTGATATTGGGTTATAGCTTAATCCATAACGCTGCCTAATATCTCAACTCTCTTCTTAATTGTTTTCTTAGGTTGTTGGCACAGTGGGTTATGCGGCCCCTGAATATGTCCACACCGGCAGGCTCACTGCCAAAAGCGATGTATGGAGCTTTGGGGTAGTTCTCTATGAACTCATTACTGGTAGACGAGTGCTCGAGAGAAATTTGCCGCGAGGCGAGCAGAAACTCCTGGAATGGGTAAGGCCATATGTTTCGGACCCTAAAAAATTCCACATGATTTTAGACCCGAGACTTGAAGAACAGACCAACATGAAATCTGCTCTAAAACTTGCATCCCTTGCGAACAAATGCCTCATGAAGCATCCTAAATCACGACCAAAAATGAGTGAGGTAGTCGAGATGCTTGAGAGCATCATCGATGCCTCATCACCTCAAGATGAATGTGTACCTGAAACTGTCAAAGAAGCTGAAAACATGAAGGAAGAAACTGAGGAATCAGAACCGGGAAAACAGGAGAATAACCAAAAAAAGGGTTTTGATTTCAGAGAGATGGTCTTGAGAAACAGATCAATTGGGAAGTTAGATTGGAGAAACTGGACTCCGGGTTTGGTAAGAACATGATATTTTCTCGTATTCCCGCCTCCAAATAGGCTGATAATTTTGTGTTCTTTCCTGAGATATTGAATATCTTCTGTATTGCTTAGAGCTGTAAATAGACAATATGCAGACTCCTTTTTCGGGTCGAAATCAGAATATTTTTGACCTGTAAAAATATGTTGAGTCTGTAGTTGCAATGCACTCCAACTGCTTGTTATTTTGCTATAATGGAACTTTATATTTTTGAGTTATGAAATTTCTGAGGTTGGAGGATAGTGAAGTCGCCAAGCTCAGTTCATAATTTTGTGGCAACTTCAGCTGGCTGATGTCTTACCATCCTCGTTTGAACTATTCAGCTATGTTTGGTATATAGTATTAGATTAGTTATTAAAATTGGCCTGGGGTGAGTCGGGTGAAAGTGAAACCCTCCAAATTGGGCACAGTGCTGGGCCGGTTTGCATGTTTGACTGGTGGGCATAGAACTGCTCGAGAACCAGTAGAATCAGTTAAAAATCGATAGGACTAGCCGTTTTTAATTAAAACTTGGACAGTTAGCCCAATTTGGACAGGCTCATTACAACAACACTTAAATTGAAAGAGGAAATTACATGTACACCTACTTTTCAACTTCTCATTTTAACAATTAGGTACAAGATTTTTTCTGTCAAAAATTAGGTGTGTATTGTTGCTTAAGATCTTCCTGTTCCGATCTTCTTCTTCTTTAGGTCGACACAACAAAGGAAGAGAGCGATGTGCATTGGTGGCAGTGAGAGCTGTTGGAGATGCATGGTGGTGAAAGGAGGTATTACAGCAGCTGTGGGAGCGGTTTGGTGGTTTGTTTATGAGGCGATTTGGAGTTTTAGGTGTCGGTCATCTCCCTGCTTCCTGCGAGCATTAGCGACACCACACTGTAGTGTGTGGGTTTTGTGGTGTGTGCTATGGTGGTGGTGTAGTGATGCTAATGGTGGTGATGAAGGTTGTTGGGGGTGGTGTTGGTGTTGGTGTTGGTGTTGGTGCGATATGTGCCTGGATGGTGGTGGTGTTATTGCTGGGTAGGTGGTGGTGGTGGTTCATTGAAAGGGTGGTGGTAGTGATGGGTCGAGGATCTCAGGCAACGGTTGCATTTGGGTGGTGTCTATGGCGGTGGAGAGGGTGAGGTGAGGCGGGAGAGATGAAGGGTAATTTTTGGCTAATTAATTTTGTAATTGTGACTAGTTGATTTGATATTTTGTAATCGAGAAATAAGTTGTAACCAATTAATATATGATAATTTATGATTTTTGAAACTTTTCAACATGAACCTGAGCCCAACTCTGTAATACACATTTTGGGCCCGTTTGGTAGGGATTTTGAGAGTTGATTTTTTGACCGTTAGAAAAAAAGTGGGGTCCACATGTGAGAGAAGAAGTAAAAAATTACAACTTGAATAGTAAAATAACGGTCAAAAAATCAATTTTTTGGGGCAAAAAATCCCTACCAAACGGGGCCTTTATGTCACCCGCATTTTAGTTTAACTAATAGATTAGTAATATACAAGTTAATTTCCACGTAACGTTGTTACCATCACTATTATTGTGAAAAACATTCTTACCTTTCATTTTTTGACATTTTCATCATAATTTTCATCTTTCATTGTGTAAATGTTATTTTTATTCATTTTTTCAATTAAAAGTTGTGAAGTGACAAATACACCATTATATTTAAATAAAATGAAAAAGGAAAAAAAAAACTAATTAAAACCGTTGTGCCAATTTTTTTTTTTTTGAAAGCTACAAACGAATCCCTAATAAAATAGTAAAAGGATAATTAGCACATAATGTACCTGCATTTCCCTATTATTATGAAAAAGTCCCTATTTATTATTATTTTTTTTTTATTTTTTTGCATTTTCACCCCTAATTACTCATTTGATTGCACAAACCATTATTCTATCTATTTTCATCCAATTTCTCAATTAAAAGATGAAAAATAGTTAATATACCATTCTATTTAAATAAAATAAATAAATAAACTTATTGCAACCATAGTTCTAATTTTTATTTTTATTTTTAAAAAGTGCAAACAAGTCCCAAATACATTATTAAAAATATAGAAATAATTTTTATTTTCAAATGAGTTCCAAATTAATTATTGAAAAATTGGTAATTGAAAACAAATTTAAAAAGTGCTAAAAAGTACAAATAAATTATTAAAAAATTAATTTTCTTTTTATTTAAATAGAAGGGTATATTCGTTGTTCACAACTTTTATTGAGAAATTGGATGAAATTTGATAAAAATGATGTTCTAGGCGATTAAAGGTGTAATTAAGGGTGAGAATGTTAAAAAATAAAAATAAAAAACATGGACGTTTTTCATAATAATGGTGAAAGATATGAACATTATGTGCTAATCACATTTTTAATAATTTATTTTGGACTCATTTTTGCACTTTAAAAAAAAAAAAGGACCATGGTTGCAATTAGATATTTTGTTTCTTTTTCATTTATTTAAATAGAATGATATATTCATCATTTCAAACTTTTAATTGAAAAAGTGGATGAAAATTAGGGATGAACGTGATTCGATTTAGATGGTTTGTGCCATATTTTCAATTCAAATTATTTCATGTTGTTGAAATTTTTCCAAACCATTTTACTTTTCGAACCAAACCAACCATAATTTGCGATTTTGTTCGATTTTAATCCACGATTTATCTATTGACATTATAGTAATATATTTAAAACAAGTTCAAGTATAAATGAGAACTAATAATGTTAAATGTTAAATTACATTCTTATTTATCATAAACCCATGAATAAATTATTTTCAAATTTGGTTGCTAAAAGATGTAAATAGAACAAATATATCTTTCTTTATTTTTATTTATCTTTTCTTGTTTGACTTTTATATTGTCACATAGCGGTTGATAAATGTAAAATCATATTCTACTATTATAGTTTAGTCCAAACTCATTTTCGTCTTACTAGTGAGATGTTAAATAAGGATTGAACATGATATATTTAGATATACGAAGATTGAAAAAGTTTATGCTTATCGGGGATTAACGAATTTCATTCTTTAACTACTTTATGAAAAATAAAATGTAATAGTAATAATTAGAGAACTTTAACATTTGCATACAATCAATACGTTCCGTCCTTCGTTCTTTCTAAATCACAAACAAGTTCATTAACATCTAAGCACACAAATATTCATTTTTTCTATTCAAATCACAACTCACAAGTGTATGATAAGTTCAAAAACAATAAACAAAAGAAAGAACAAAGGGAAAATGGCTTGAATGAGAATCTGAGACTTATCGAAAGAGAAGGGAGAAAGAGGCAATTCAGATAGAAATTAGCAAACTAATAGGAAAAAGGCGATAAGTAATTCGTTTGGCAGGGGCAAACAAGCATCAAATGTTAAAGAAATGAGAGTTTATATTAGAGCTTCTGAAACTTTGGACGTGATTTGCTGCCGTAGCCCCACTAGATATTTTCACGTCCCATACCCCACCCCATATCCTTTTAAGTCGGGGACGGGTCGGGGCGGGGCGGGGCAAGCCTCATGCTCCATTTATCGCCCCATTTATTTTTTATTTTTATTTTTTTATTTTTGGCTTTTATGTTTTTATGTCCTTAGTTAATAAATATTATTACTTTTTCCCCTATTTGTTAAAAACAACTTATGTTCTCTTTAAAAATGATAATAAATCAATTATTTTTGTTTTATATAAACTTATATTTGAAATTAATATTAAATGGGGCGGGGACTATGTTTCCCGTACCCATCTCATACCCACTTTAGGGCAATGACCCTCATCTCATACCCGTCCCACGTACCCGGTTAGACAGGTATTCCCTTACCCATTCGGGATGGGACCCCATAGGTATCGAATTGAATGGGTTTTTTTTGCCATCTCTAGATGGGCATGCTCAAATGTTAGTTTTTCATTTTTTGTCTCAATGGGGGAACTGATAGTGGAATTTTTGTCACTCATTAGTAAACAACAGAATGCACCTTTCGATTGGAAACTCGATCCCAATTAAGGGTGGGAGTGTTTATGTTCCGTTTAAATCCAACGAATAGCTAAATAATTTTGGAGTCCGACTACAAACATTTTGTTCTCAATTCTAAAATCTAGAACTAATTAAATTGCAAGTGAAACCGAATGAAACTTGCTTCAAAGTAAGTTAAATTAACACTTTTTACTTCGTCAAATATTATTTTAAAAATTATTAGTTACTCGAGAAGTAAAACAAAAAATAAAATAAAATAATAAAAAGTAAAAAGTAACTTTTAAGTAAATCTAATCACCCTTGAGCGTTTCTATCTAAAAATTTCCTACAAATTCTAAGTAAATGGGACTCTAAAAATGCAAGTAAATGAATTGAAGTATTAACTGAATAAATTTGAAACGAGCAAGTTATTCTACAATTTATTATTATTATTATTATTATTATTATTATTATTATTATTATTGTACAATAAATCTTCAATTATGAAAAGTCTAATGTTATTTGCTATTTGAATAATAAGTCCGAGATAAATTTATATATTTTTTAAATTTTAAATACATTTTTATCCTTCTCTGAAATCTAATGCAGTTTTATCTGATTATAGGAAAATTTTCATAGAGAAGAAATAAAGATAGCAATTTTGTTATTGATGAATTCGAGATAATTGCAAACTCTACAAGGCTACAACTTATGAACATTGCAATAATAATAATAATCGTGTCGATGTCTATTTGCTCTAGTGGTAAGGACATTGGCATTGCTGGCTGAGGTTCCGTGTTCGAGTCCTCTTACCAGCATGGTGGTACTGTGCCTCTCCAAAAAATCCCTCCATACGTGTAGGGCCAAGCGGTGTATACTAACCCGTAGGGCCAGGCCGGAGGTGGGGTTTCTGGAGTATGGGGCCGTAGTGCGATGGGGCCAGTCACTTTAAAAAGTTTACCCTACACAGTTTAAATTATTGGTGGATTAATCACAATGGAGGAGACTTCTTTTGGGGAAGGAGTAAAAGTCATGTGGGAACTTGGGAACCAACAAGGGCACATCCTGCGATTTACCTCCCTGAGCAGCTGAGGGGCCGGAGGTTCAGGGACGAGGATATATAGTCTGGCGTAAGTTGGGACACCTCGTTAAAAAAAAAAAAAAAAAAATAATCGTGTGACAAAATTTGCCTTCCTTAGTAAGAGATTAATAAAATTATCTCGATTTTTACATTATAATTGTACATAAATAAGGAAAAATTTTATTTTTTTGTCCCCAACCTCCGCTAAATGAAATAAGAGTCCATTTGATTGCAAAGATGGAATTGAATTGAATTGAAAATGAATTTCAAGGAATTGAATTGCCTAGAAATTATTTTCTTGAGAATTATAAATTAATTGTGTTTGATTAATATAATTTTCTACGTAAAAAATGTTGAAATAAAAGTGTCTTTTGGGGTTCGTTTAGTTTTGTTTTGCGTGAAAATTGTCAATTAATGGGATAAAATTTACTGGTATTGAGGATGAAATTTGTTTCCATTACAAAAATAAATAAATAAATAAATAATAAAAAATCAAGAAATTCAAGAAAATCAATTATCTTTTGGTGTTCATTTGACTTTGTTTTACATGAAAATAGTCAATTAAAAGGAAATATTTTTTTAGAATAATTCTTAACATTTGTTTCCATTGCCAACAAAAATTTAAAAAAGAAAATCATATATATATATATAGTGACTGGAATTCGAATTCTCACCGACGACATGAAAAATTGCTAGTTTTCGAGAAAAACAAAAAAGCAAATTCCTTGAGAAAAAAAGCCTATCAAACAACCTAAAAGATGGAAAATGGAATTGATTTTCCATTTTCCATAAAAAACTTGGTACAATCAAATAGAGCCTAAATATATTCAATCTATATTTTTAACATAATCCATTCCGAACCTTTCAATTATGTAATAAAACTGGTCTTCCCCTCTATTTTGGCCGTCAAATGACATAATTAGCCTCTTTAAATGGGAAAAAGAAAAAAAAAACAAAACAAAAAAAAAAAAAGAAAAAAAACAATAAAACAGCAAAAAGAAAAGAAAACTGCAGAAGGAACCACGTAACTTTTCAAAAAGGTTTCACTTAAAACTATTAAATACATAATAATATGCGCACGCCAAAAAATAAATAAATATAATAAAAATAAAAATATTAGAATTTGAAAAATGAAGTAAACATTTTATCTTCTTAGTCAAGCTCACCCACCAACCCAACCACCCATTCCACCCCACCCACAGTCATACACCACAATGTAGTCACGTTGATGGTGGCGGCAGAACCACCACTTCTATAAGGTTGTAATGGTGGTGGCAACTGTGACCATTGTCAATGAGATTGAAAAATGGTGGGGTAAATTTAAGTTAATCTTAAGCAGATTTTAGGTTGAATTTAACCCTTTGAATGTTTGCACGCTACAATTAGACATAATGAAAGCACAATTTTAACAAGTAATCTTGTCTTTAGTATTAAATTTTTAGCATGTCATATAGTTGATTTATTCCTCTAACTGTGTCCGTGTATGGTACAAAGTATAGAAAGGCATGTCGTGTTGGACTTGACTTTCCAATTTGCATAGCACAGTCGCTAATCACTTTTTCCCCAAAAAATAAATAAATAAATAAATAATTCAATTGGCTCATCACTCAAGGCCATTGGCTTTTACACCTCTATCGCGAAAAAAATTAAAATAAAAAAAAAAAAAAATCTTGTTCCTTACACCATTCAGAAACTAAACACCAAGACTTCGGGATATAAACACCCAAGTGGCAAAATCTTTGATAGAGATATTCACTAAGAATCCCCCTTGACAATAATGTGCTGTTCTGGCTCCTTCTCAGGGCCAGCAGGTTGGGGGGGGGCTCATTATGGAAAACTGAAATCACTTCACTTCCATTTTGGATGAGTTTGGTGCAAAAGCAATTCAATAAAGCCATTATCAAGATATGATCCTCTGCTCTTTGATTAAAAAAAAAACTATTGTTGATAAGATTCTTGGAAAGTAGTTCCATTTATATGCATACCTATAAATATAAGGCAATAAAAGATACACATATGGCAATACAAAACACCAACTGGCACCCCACCCCCTTAATCTTTCCCACTTTATCTACTGTTTTATGACTCTATCATCCCTACTGCAACATTTTAGTGCAATTTACGAATTCGAGGTGTGATAGGGTTCATAGAGTTAAATTGGACATGAACAGCGACAAGCTAACATCAAGAATACCTTTGTATGCTCGACTGGATAGGATCAGATACAAAGAGAGAAACATTCACATATCTAGGTTCTTTAATTCAGTCAGTGCAGCATAATAAACACGCGACAAATAGCAACAACACTCGTATATAATATAATCATCAGTAATTCAAGAACGCTAAAATTCTTTTAGCATCATGACTGTGAGCTCAGGCAGTAAAGCGAAGATTATATTAGGAAAACAACTGTACAATCATTCATGATTGACAGCGGTCAATATTACTAATTTTTCATATTATTACTAAGCCATCTACCAATTTCAGAGTGGAAAGAAATACATACTTGTCAAAAATATTGAAGAACTATTTGGAGTGAAGTAGAGAAGCAGAAGGCCTCAGATAAGCATCATTCCCATCTTTATTACCAGCATCATTTGCTTTGACTACATTGTCTAGGTCCAATGATTCTTCTGCTACGAGTATTCTCTACATTTTTTATATCCTGAAGTTGCTCCAGTTCTTTGACTATTTCTTTCATTGTCGGCCTCAACTTTGGCTCCGTGGATATACATTGTAGGGCGAGGTTAGCCAATCTATGAGCCACATCCATTGTGTATTGGCCTTCAAGTCGGGTATCTATTACACGGAAGAGTTTACGATTATTGGCAAGGTGGGGAACCCATTCAACCAGCCTTCGTTGTTTGGATGGTCTATTCATGTCAATTGCTCTCCGCCCCGATAGCATTTCAAGGAGAACAACTCCGAAACTGTACACCACACTCTTGGCCGTCAAATGACCTAATTTGAAGAAATTAAATTGACATGAGGGGGAAAAAAATGGCAATTGTGTTATACAACGACAAGAATGCTTGAAGCAAGCACTGATTCTGGGGGGAAAGAATGAATGAAACTACAACTCTATTATAAAAGGAGATTGGCGTCAATATATCACTTGGACAGCTACAGTGGGGCGGGCTGGGGCTTACTGAGAATCAAATGAAATTAATGCAATTATAGGACAATGAAAAAGGTGAAATGCGCTTCAAGCTGTACCAGTGGCTAGAAATTCTGGAGCGGCATATCCATAAGTTCCCAATACCCTTGTGGACACACAGCTTTTATCACCTGATGGACCAACCTTGGCCAATCCGAAATCAGAAAGCTTTGCATTGTAGCTCTGTCATATCATACGAGTAGATTTTTAGACCTGTGCCCATATGAGAAATAGTTTTACGAGACTACCGAAAATTATGAACTGACAGCAGAGGTACCGAGTCGAGCAATATGTTAGAAGTTTTAAAGTCTCTATAAATGACTTTCGTCTCAGCACTTTGGAGAAAAGCAAGTCCCTTTGCAGCTCCAAGAGCAACCTTAAGTCGTAGATTCCAAGTGAGAGGTTGGAAATAAGAGCCCCCTGTTACATTATATGTTCGAATGTCAATTTTATTACTGTTCACTTACATGCATATCTATTTAGATCAAGGTGAAAAAACTTACTCATAAACAGATGGTTTTCCAAGCTTCCACGAGGCATGAATTCATACACCAAAAGTCGATGTTCGTCCTCCAAGCAATATCCAATCAGTTTCACGAGATGAGGATGAGAAAACTGTCCCAAATAGTTCACTTCTGCCTGTATATACAAATACAGTACACATTTTAATAAACAATCTGTTAACCATAGAAAAAGAATTCACTGTTAGACATCCTAACGAATTTACATGCTCGAAACTTGAATGGAACAATATATTTTAGAATCACGTTATGGATTAAGACCTAAGCCCAAACACGAGATCAATATTAAGCAATAAAAAAACAAAAACCTACAAGAGAAGCACATAGATTTATAGTTAACTCTCACATTGAGAGCTGTATATGTTGAATCATTTGATCTAAAAGCTCAAGTTGTTAGATAAGGTCAAATAATATATTCAACATGCCTCCTCAAGTGTAGAAGATTCATTTTCTCCCATCAAAACCTAGGACGTGGACAATTTTATTTAACCAGATGGGTGGCCAGACTTGAATTGAACCTTTGCCTACTCTAATACCATGTATCTTATCAATATGTTAAACAATCAATTTACTCATGATGGTTTGAACTTAGGCTGTTTGTGTCATTTTGTGTTACACCATTTATCTCAACATTATGCCAAACATTGCCACTTATCCCAAAAGATTTTTAACTATAATAAAGAATGAGAATTACAAATGTGATCTCAAGACTCTCAATCACTATCCTTCTCAAAAATGGCCATTTAATCAGTCCCGAATATGGTAGGAATAGTAGGACGACCCAATAATAAGAAAAGGAAACAAATTTCCAAGAGTCATGGAGCTAGTAGCAAGTTGAAGATGAGAAACTTACTAGCCACTCCCCGTGTCCTTGAAAACTCTCTTGATGAAGCTTTCTTACAGCGATAACCGTGCCAGTCCTGGGTTTTGCAGCTGTAAAAGAAACTTCATCAATGCAACCTTTGAAGACGGAACTAAATCTGCCTTCTCCTAGCACACTATCAGGTCGAAAGTTCCGGGTGGCCATCATGAGATCAGAAAGTCCAAAGTTCTTCAAGTTAGACGACTGCAAGATCTCACCCTCACTTGGAGGAGTAGGTGGCTCTGATCCTAACACAAAATCCCCATCACCACTAGAGTTTCCCATGTGATTGCCATTTTTGCTAGCATATTTGGAACTCCACTCTGAAAAGATCAAACATATTATTGAAACCACTCTGCTTTTCTAAAAAAACCTAAACCACCAATTTGCAAAGAAATGTAGAAGCTAAAAATCTAATCATATATAATTATATACAAGAAAGTTCAAAAACAGCAGAAACTTCACTCTTATTCGTTAAATTAGATGAGCAGTAAGATTTTGACACAATCAACATATCAAAACTTCTTATATTGAGTAAAATGGCAAACATTCTTATAAAGTCATAGACAAACATTGTAAAGATTTTACATAACTGTGGTACATAGAATCATGAAAAAGAACAAAAAAAGATGATAAGAGTATGGGAAAGCTATTTACCTGTGTGAGCTGGGCTATCAGCTTTGATATGAGTACTCAAACAAATCCCCATTGGATTCAACCACCCCTTCACTTTCTAACACTCAATAAACTCTGCAAATCGCAGTAAAATTTGGTAAGGTTAGATATCAAAGAATTTGAGAGATTCTTCTTAAGTTTGAAGATACCGAGTCTAAAAGTTCAAGTAACGAATCAAGACTCTAGACATTCTCACCCGAGCTACTGTCTTGGCAAAATTTCATTTAGATATATAAACAAACACCAAGTGTGTGAAACCAGAAGGAAAGAGGAAGAACCCTTTCGTGGATTTTTCCAGAGAGAGCCAACCATTTCATCTCAACGTGCTTTTAAATCAAGAGATGTTAAAAAAGCCACCTCCTATTTTTGATATTAGCACGAAAGAACAGGTGTCGAAAAGAGAGACGTGGGCTTATTGTTCTTGGGATTTTCACCGATTCCTGTGTCGTGTAGAGTTGACTGGTGCTTCTTCAATTTTCGGTGCATTCACAGAGAGAGAGAGAGAGAGAGAGAGAGAGCCAGAGAGGTTCGCAGAAGATGATTATTGGCGGCAGCGCTGGTCCCCCTTCCAAGTTTATCAAATGAAGAGACAATCAAATCCGATTGTCACGATTTCTTAGCAAATGAAGAGACAATCAAATAGTGTAACATGTCTAGGTTTCAGAAGATTTCGTTTATAAAAAAATGTGATGCATATGGACAAGGCAGAAATAAAATGGAAAGACGATGGAGGAACAAGAAGTTCATGAAAATTTAATGAAAACTTTAATAGATTATATTGCCTATGTTTGGTGGGAAGATTTTAATCTAAGTCAAAATTAACAATTAATTTTAATTACATATATATTATGAGATTCACAATTTTTTAATCATATATTTCATTTTTTTAATTAAAATATTCTAAAAATATGATTTTTAGCTATATCAAACATGAGCTTTATTAATAAATATTGATATTGAAGAGCAATATTTTGTTTTCTTATATTGCGACTTACGAATTTACTCATCCATTGACTAGTACACATATCTGACTCCTTAATTTATGCATCAAGATGGGTCAAATGGAAAATCCATAGGCCAACATCGAGAACACGCAGATATCGAAACATGTCAAAGACGTACGCTGTCCACAACAATCGGGGCAACTGCCATTTTCTACATTATTACCCCCATATGAAGTGTTGAAGACTAACTCACTATTTTTAAAAAGTGCAAATGAGTTCAAATAAATTATTAAAATATTAAAAAAAAATTTCTCTCTTTTTATCTTCTCCTCTTCTTCCCTCCGCCTCCTCCAACACTATCATCATTGTGAAAACCATAGAAATTTCACCCTTGCACCAGCATTTCTACAACAGATATTCTACCAGTAAAGGAGTACAATTAAAGAAACGAATTTGTAAAAACCATCACGAAGCCCTAAAATCCAAATGGGGCCGCCACCTTAGAAGCCAAAAAACTCCGACTAACCACCACCCAAACTGTCGAACTTTCATACCATCGGAAAGTCCTCACTGGTCGCTGCACATACCATCCAACATTCAACCTTCATGTCAACAAATTTGGTCGAAAGTGCAAGCTAAAATACTCAACTCTTGAATGCAAATACTAGCGACACTACCTATTTCGATAAGACCCGTGCCATTCCCAACACACCAATCAACTAAACTCACTAGGGTACCTCTCTTCATAGTCTTAAAACATCAATAGGTGCACGAAATCAAAATTTACAGCAACAGCTTTTAATTTCTTATTGGGCAATAACTGTCCAAAAATCCTAGGGCACATTAAAATGAAATTGATTGAAGCCCATTATTGTAATTGGTGCGGCATGATGTGGCAAAGTCGGAATAGGTGGTTCGCGACGATGGTAACCACTGCCAACATTGAAATTGACAGAAACAAGAAGCGTTTTGTTCGCTCAGTATGATGTGTTTTTGGTTGATTTTGACCATATAAATTTGTTGCTCGTTCAATTTGTATGTGAGAATTTGTTTGGAGGTTGATGGCAGCTATTTGTCGTATGAGCTCCAACATTTTAGGTGACAGTTCGGTTGTGTTTAGTGAGATGGAGGCCAATAGCTCCATGAATCTCCAAAAATAACAGGTGGATAAGAAACATAAGGACATTTTGTGCTATTAAGTCTTTTGAAAAATTCTTTTTTTTTTTGTTTTGTTTAAATAGGAGAGTATATTAATAATTTTAAGTTAAAAATTAGTGAAAATGATGTTTTCCACAACGAAACATAGAAGTAGGAATCAAAATGCAAAAATTTGAACTGTATGGACGTTCTGCATACTACAGATTAAACGTAAGGATGTTTTGTGCTATTAAGCCTTACAATTATTTAAGAAATGGTAAGTTTCTTCTGAATTTTCAATAAATATCAATTCAACCACTAAACTTTTCATCTCATATGAGTAGTTATCCTTACTTTCATTTCATATTTCATCATTTTATCATAGTGTTCTCCAAACTGATGGAATTGCTTAGTTGATTATGACTGATCTTTTTACGTATTTGTTATGGACTACCCTAGAAACCAAAATGATTTGAATTAGGTGAATTCACATTGAGATTCCAATTTGTAAGGACAATATCTTTAAATAAANGAAGAAGTAAAATTTGAAATAAGTTAAAATTTATTAATTTAATTAAGATAAATTAAAATTTAATAACCAAATTGAAATTTTATACATATCTTGTGTTGGCTCTGCGGACATATTGCAACCCTGTAACACAAATATAATTGTTATTTGATGAATAGTTAGCTCCTGTAAGATGAAAATTAAAATCGAATTTTTGGTAAATTTTAATAAAAATTCATAAACATATAGTTAAAATTTTATAAATCCCATAAAATATATGGTTATAATTAATCGTTAATGTTGATTAAAATTAAAATCTAAATTTTAATCCGTACCAAAATGGACTTAATTTCTTTTTGTTTGAATATGATCACTGGACTTTGATTTAATTTCCAATTGTTCAGTCTGCCTAATGGGACAACGCAAAAGTCTAATGTAATAGTTTAAGCATTGACAAATTACAAGATATGGATAAAGAGCAAGTGATGACCACAAAATTAAGTTCACTAATCAACATCAACTATACTATATACTACAAATTTTTAAAAAATGTTATTTGCAGTCACTCACTGCAATAATCGCCATACGTGACATATACATGACAAGGACTTATTTGATACTAAGTCAATTAAAAACCACCACATTAAAGAGTCAAATAACTAACTATCATATGTATACCACATAAGACGATTGTCGCAGTGAGCGACTGCAAATAACATTATTCATTTATCTAAATCCAGGTTGATATTTAAGATTTTGTGCTCAAATTAATTAACATAGTTGGCTATTTTGATCGACAAATTAGGTCATTACTATTAATTGAAAAATAAGTAGCTTAAACCAACTTAATAATTAATATTGACTCGTTAATCTTGCATACTAAGCTCAAATCCTTTTGATCAATCATCTAACATTAATTCAGGTGCCCGGTATTATCCAATTACATGACTAGGAAGAACAAAAAAATACTGTTCAATCTTTGCATATTTCAAAGGGCACGTGAATAAACGATGACTTTAACATACTTTAAAGCTTATCCAAACTAGCCTCAAAAGTAATTTTTCACATTTTTTTTAAGCGTAGCCAAACATCTTATCAAACTATAGTATGGAGCCAAAAATTTTCAATTACGGAGTCTGTGGGGCAGTGCGCGCAGGATGATAACAGGGACCATTGCAGGCTACGGCCAAGGCATGGGCACATAAGAATCAGATTCAGGCATTTTACAAAACCCATAAGCAGTTATGGCTAAAAAGTTGAAATTTTGATAAGAGTTATGTTCCAGGAGACTTACCGGTTCAGACTGAAAATCCAAGAACCAGATAAGACCGGTCCAGATAGCATCAGTGGATTGAATTTCAAATTATCAAGAACCAGTTAAACATGGATAAAAGTGGTGAGGATACGTCAAATCCAGGAATAACGATATTTAGCACTACTGATATTATAATACCATTTTAAGTGACACTAATATGACATTAAATGAAAAGTATAATTGAATGAATCTCTTAATTCTACCTTTTAGTGAGCCAATCACTTAACTCCACCTAGACTAGTGTTTTAGCACCAATCGAGCTAAATAGCATTATTCCAAACCCAGTCAAAAACATGATTAATCATCCTAGCACTCTTTGGAAGTGTTGCCGATGAGTCTGTTTAGAAGACATACCGGAAGATCATCAAATTCGTTCATGAAAACCCAATGTCTTACGATTTCTATTCCAAATCACAACTATCCAACCCACAGACACCCCAAACACAATGCCTGCTGCAACCTGTGAATTTCCTTGTGCCTTCCGACAGTCTAATGTAAAGCAATGTCTTTTTAGGGTTAAAAACGCTAGTCAACCAAATCATAGGGTAGTCCGAACACCTTTTTTCCCCCCCAAGTTAGTGACTGGGAGAGACAAAAAAAGGGGGGTCTCAAGTCTAATGAATGAGGCGGGTAGAAGAAAACAAGCCAACTGACATTTGGCCAACTTACAAATTCGAGCACAAACTTGCAAATAAAGTTTACCACAAGTAAAGAAACGGCTGGATGCTCATCGTCCCAATATACAACTTCAAAGTTCATGCACTCTCCTTCACAGTCGCAGACTTGATAATATCAATAAACTCCGGCTGATTCATTACAAAGATTAAAAAAAATAAGGTTTAACTAAAAGAATGCAAAATCAAGTCGTGAAATGGTGAAATAAGACATATCTGAAGAGTAAACCTTTAGAGAGGCTCCACCAACCAAAAAGCCATCCACATCTGGCTGTGCTGCCAGTTCTTTGCAGTTTGCTCCATTTACTGATCCTGCATTTGTCATTTAAGCAAAAGGGCAAAAAAAAAAAAAAACACAAAAAAAGGAAAAAGGTTGGTGTTATGTCTTTATATGGAACTGTGGCAATCATAACTAAAATTCTCACGGAAAATCTGAAAATTTACACAATTTCCATACAGACTGACCGTTTCTACAAATGTAGCAAGCTGTATTTAATGATGCTTCTGAATTCCAACCATATTGCAATATACAGCAACACAAAGGGATAGATGAAAAAGGTTGAATTGGTACCTCCATAAATAATTCTTGTAGATGCGGCAACTTCATCACCTATATTGTCGTGAAGCCATTTCCGCAGCTCAGAATGAACCTAGTATCAAATACACCTCTAGTCGTGAATTTTGACTTAATGAATCTTGAATAGACCTAGGAATTTAATAAGTAGAACATAAAGACGGAACCTAAGCACATCCAAGGGCAGTTAAGTAGCAAACAAGGGACCCTTAAATACTAAAGTGCCACAGGCTCATCAAAAAACATCCAAGAAAATGGTGTCCTGCAGCAGTCTCTAGTAAATTCTATCCTATCTCGTGATAAATACAAGTTAATATTTATCAAATATAATGTTTGTAGCGTTGTGGACGTCACATCCAGTAACTCCAAGAAACAGTTGAACTTATCAGTCGGGCTATAGTAAGTATAAATACAAGTTGACTCCAAGAAACGGTTGAACTTATCAGTCGGCATATTGTAAGTATCAGTTGCATTCACTTTCGTGTGTAAAATTGAAAGGGAATTACTCCACGTTAACCTACCTTCTGATTCAGTGATGTCTGAAAGCTATAAAATTTGAACTTGC